GTCACCCGAGACTGCACGAGAGCCTTGCAAATCAGGGGCGACCACTCCTTTTACAAGGAGGATGCTGAAGCCCAGAGAGGTTGCAAGGCTCCCCTAGCATGAACAGCTAGTATGCGTTGGACTTGGGATTTGAACCCAGATCTTTAAAATCTTGTTCCTTTCATTCCACCACAAAGCATAAGAACTTGAATCCAGGCACTGCCCTGAGCTTTCCTTCATATGTTCACATCTGTGCCTCTCTTAATCTGTTGTGTGTTGCACTTTTTGTTTGTTTTTAAGTGTTAGTGATTATTTTTTTATTTGTTAACTAGTTATCCATGAAAGTAGAATGCATTTTGACACATCATACATAAATGGAGTCTTGCTTCTCATGACGTAGAGTCACACCAGTCATGTAATCATGTATGTGTATAGGGCAATAATGTCTGATTCATTCTACTTCATGCCTACTTCCAAACCCCCTCTCTTCCCTCCACTCCCCTCTACCTATTCCAAAGTACCTCTATTCTTCCCTATCCCCTCTCCTTTACTGAGAATTAGTATCCACATATGAGAGAAAACATTCAGCCTTTGCTTCTTTAGGATTGGCTTATTTCACTTAGCGTGATATTCTCTAGCTCCATCCATTTACTGGATATTGCCATAATTTCATTCTTCTTTAAGACTGAATAATATTTCATTGTGAATGTATACACCACATTTTCTTTATCCACTCATCTTTTGAAGGGCACTTAGTATCATGAGTTGAGCTGCTATAAACATTGATATGGCTGTGTCACTGTAGTAAAGCATACGAAGTAAAATCAAGAATCAATAAATGGGATGGATTTAAACTAAAAAGCTTCTTCTCAGCAAAGGAAGCAATCAAAAACATGAAGAGGGAGCCTACAGAATGGGAGAAAATCTTTACCACCTGTACCTCAGATATAGCATTAATCTCCAAGACATATAAAGAACTCAAAAAACTTAACACCAAAAGATGATAATAACCCAATCAATAAATGAGCTAAAGAACTAACAGACACTTCACAGAAAAAGGAATACAATTGATAAAAAAAAATATGAAAAAACGTTCAACATCTCTAGCAACTAGAACAATGCAAATCAAAACTAGTCTAAGATTTCATCTCACTCCAGTCAGAATGGCAATTATCAAGAATAAAAGCAACAATAAATATTGGTGAGGATGTGGGGGAAAAGATTCACTCATACATTGCTGATGGTACTGAAAATGGATTCTTTTTAATAAGCATTTGTTGATTCTTGATTTTACCTCTTGTGCTTTAGGAGTCTTGTAAGGGAAGTCAGTTCCTAAGCTAACATGGTGGAGATTTGGACCTACTTTTTCTTCTATTAGGCGCAGAGTCTCTGTTCTAGTGCCTAAGTCCTTGATTCACTTTGAGTTGAGTTTTGTGCATGGTGAGAGACAGAGGTTTAATTTCTTTTTGCTACATGTGGATTTCCAGTTTTCCCAGCACCATTTGTTGAAGAGGCTATCTTTTATCCACATAACTGTATTTATGTGGATTTGTCTTCTATTCTCTATCATTGATCCATGTGTCTGTTTGGCACCAATACCAGGCCATTTTTGTTACTATGCTCCATAGTATAATTTAAGGTCTGGTACTGTGATGTTTCCTGCTTCACTTCTCTTGCTAAGGATGGCTTTGGCTATTCTGGGTCTCTTATTTTTCCAAATGA